CTATAAGATACCATCATATATTATAATCTACTATAATATACTATCATATATACTGTAAAATATCATAATATGCCATAATAGACCTGCTGGAGGCCTCGCATTCCTATGCGCCAGCAGCAAAGATGCCGCTGCATCCGTACCTTTGCGGGCAGTTCCAGAGTCACCAGGCTGCACTCCTTCTCATCGCACAGCCATCTAAGCCCTGGTAGTGTCCATTTGCTTTTCCACTTGCTTTTCCGTTCGATTCGCCAGCGTTGGCGTAATATCCCTACATATGACTATAGCGCCCTATACAGATATAAATATGTAATATAGATATATCCTCATATAGCCCTAAGATCACCCTTGTATGATCCCTATAAAATCCCTACATACCCCTTTGTACTCCTATATAACGTCAAAAGCCGATAGACTCACAAGTTGCCAATGCCAGTTGCTGTGAGACATCATCAAATGCACTTGCTACTAAGTCCCAAGGCGTCATGAAGACTCTCCCGTTGTGCTTCCCACCCTAAACTCATAGGTTGCTGGCCTTCACCAGCAAACTTTGGTCTAGGGTCTTAGTTAGGGCATATGTGCCGATCATGTCTCCCAGGGTTTCATGGTTTAGGGTTGCCCTGAGGTTCGTGCGGCTGCTGGCAAGAAGATTTGAGACTGACGCGGAGCAGGCAGATAGGGAGTGACCCTAAACCCTACAGGGAGCGGCCCTCTAGTTATAAGTTTGTTTATAAGTTAGGATAACTATGGTCATAAGTTCCCTTCAGTAGTTATAGGACTTATAAGTATAGTCCTGTAACTCGGGGGCCCCTCCTTGTAGACCCTTGCTGCGGCTCCAAACCGAAGCACTAAACCCTGGGGAGCGGAGCAACTTGCTGTGCAGACTGCCTTGCCGGTTCTTCCGGCAAAGGCTTCGGAGCAGAGCCCCATAATAATCCTCAAGTGAGTAGTATTTTATTTGGGGATACTATGGTACCCATAGAGTAAGATTCTATCCTCCTTTTGGGGTATAGTATTTTATATAAGGAATATTATATTACTGGGCTTAACCACCAAAAAAAACGCTTCTCAAGTATCCCCTCTAACAGTACCTACATCCCTTTCCCCACCGCAAACACGATCCTAAACAAGAGAGGTATGTGGTTTCTATTTTTCTTTTCCATGCCGCTTATCCCCTATGATGGTGCCCATGTTCCCTCCCCTACTCCTAAACCCTCTAAGCCTTGAACCCTGAAACCTAGTCCCCATTAACGCCCCAAATACCATTAATAGTATAATATTTGGGCCCTAAAACCCTATTGTTTGGGTCCTTGGACCCTTATATACTCACCATATATCCCTATATGTATCAGTAAGTTGCAGGTGGTTGCAGAGAAAACATTCTGCGGCATGCCCGTTGACTACAGGCAGAGCGTTTTCGAAACCTGCCAGTCTTCCGGTGCTTTGTAAATGGGGAGATGGGACGAGGATCCGTACTAAGCACCAGGTGGTAGTATCCACGCATGACGCACACTTACTCCTCATTGGAATTACTCATTGCTGGGCAGAGGGTTTTGCGTTCCGCAGTAGGCCGAAAGATTAACCTCTAAACCCCAAAAGTCCGGAGGGCTCCCAAAAAATGAGTCCGGTTCCTTTAGAACCCTAAGCCTGCCCTAAAAACTTTAAACCCCAAACGGGGATGGAAAGGGATTTCTAGAGCAATTATTTTTTTCTTTTCTTATAGCAGCCCCTGGGGTGTTCAAAAGCGGGGCACGAATATAGATTTGAATGCGTTAAAACCTTGATTAGAGAGACTACCCCAATTAGGGTTTAGGGTTTAAGGTGCCCTGCACCATTTTGTCGCTGCTTTCCTCCCTTAAGCCTTAAGCCCAAAACCCCAAACCCTAAACTTACTGGTGGTTAGTGGCAAATCAGGGAATCTAATCCGGTCCTTATATACCAAATTCCCTTATTCCCTAGTAACCCTGAACCCTACATGTGTATGTACATATATATATATATATGTGTGTATACAGACTCTCTTATTCCCTACTACCACCTGTAAGTAAGCCACCTGTAAGGGAACAGTATTGCTTGGTTTAGGGTTTAGGGTTTAGGCTTGAGTCGGTTGCTGTGTGTAGGCCGCGCTTTGTCACGCAGTCACTCTCGGCGCTCTGCGAGGCGGACGGCCAACTTTTCTTGGGAGTTATACCTATACGTAAGATAGGCAAATACATAGGCATATGTATACACGTATATATGTATGTATATATATATATACACATACAGTACAATATTATGCAGTATAATGAAACACAATGATCTAAAGATGGTGAATATCTCGTATATTTGCGTTTGTACGTCAGTATGTATATACATAAAGTGATTTGTATGAACACGTGCACATATGCATACTTGCAGACATACGCTCACATATATATATATATGCATACATGTGCGTATATGCATGTACTCTATGTGTATGTGCACATTTTTGTGTATATGTATGTGGTCGGTTGGGACTTTTATCCAGCGTGGAAATCCTGAAGAGTCATAATGTCAAGTAACACATGAGCTTTCGAAAAGATTATCTTCGCCTTTCTTCAAAACGAGCGCCCTGCCCCTAAAGACCAAACCCGGATGATCCCTGCATTTCCCTGGCATCCCTGACATTGAGAATGCGATCTGCGGGACTGACCAGGAATGAGGCCTTAATCATTGATATGACATAGATTTTTTCCTGTGAGTTGAGAGGTTGCAACTTTTTGTGTTGCGAGGAGGGGGTTCGGAAGGATAAGAGGTGTGTTTCCTGCTCAACAGGGGGATCATCCTGGGGGAGCAGGGAAGCCCCAAACTCAAACTTAGCCATACTTACGGCAGCTTAAGCCACCAAGTGGAATCCCATATCAACCCAAAAAGTATTGCAGTCTTTATTCCCCAAAAACGTACCCCTAAACCCTAAACCCAATACTCTCCTTAATTTTGATGCCAAGCGAAGGCTTCAGCTGCTCACGCAGCTATGGCCTGGCAGAGTGAGCTACCATTGCTCCTCTACGACATTTTGACAGGCCGAGGACTTACCTCTGTGGGGTAATGGAAAAGGAAACTTCTCTTCAGGGCATAGGGTTTAGGTATATATTCCCCAATAGTGGAGAATCACAACATGGACAAGAGAATGGAACATGAAATGGAAACTAGGGTTGATGTAAGGTTTATATGGCTTAGGATGTAGTTTTTAAGGTTGATATTGCTTACCTCTGACTAGCAGGGACTGAAGGAATGGACACCAAAACGGAAAGTACTAAGGGACCAATATCTTCTTGAGCATTACATAGGGACTATACCATATTCTTCGGGAGTATTGTATTCTTGGGTTTGGAGATTATTCTAGGGACTACACCCTAGACCCTAAACCCGTAGCAATTTTGGGTCAAGTTGCTGGGCATTTTGCCTTTCAACGTGCACACGTTCGAAGTCTTACCGACGCCATGGATGCCTTCGCCGTAAATTTCGCTGCCCAAGCAGCCCCTGCAGCATCGTCGCTCCAGGCTGCGCCCCAGGCACGCCCAGCCCGGCAAGGCGTGGCCCAGGGTTCTTTCCACAGTGCTGGGATGGTGGCAGTCGGCATCGCAGCGGCCTTCGCTTCCAAGCAGCGATGCCGCAACACCAAGCCCCAGAAAGCACGCGGCGGCGACGTCGTGGAGACTATGCCAACAACGGCAATCAACTACTACAAGTTGGACCAGATCAACGCGACTCAAATTTTGGCATCCATGCGCGCAGCCTTGAAGGCCATGAACGGCATTCTGTCGACAGGCAAGTCAGCAGAGGACAGGCTCAAAGATGCGCTGTGCGACGAGGACGTGCGTTACGCAC